TAAAGTATATTGAACTTTCAAAAAGTTCAAGTGTGTTCCCATACCACCACCTCTGCTAATGCTATGCTATCGCATCATACCAACCACATTGCCCCACTGAACGGGAAGAATCTTCAATGGGGGTGCGACCGTCCAATGTCGAGGTGCCACTTTGACAGGTGGCCCACCACACACCTGAGGTGGCTGTGGTGCGACCGCTCGACGACCTCCCAACGTTTTACACCCTTTCATCTATAGACATATTTTACTTTCAAAAACTTCAATTCACACTGAGTAGACAGAGCTAGACAAGATTAGAAGAGTGTTCGGACTGAATAATATATATAAAAAGTTCTGCATAAAAAATTGATTTATAATGCAAGGAATCTCATAAATCCGTCCTGTGAATCGATCAATCACTTACCAACTATGTTTAGGATTGTGTATCCTTGCTTATTCCATATTCTCTTTTGTGTCTGATCATAGATCATACACAATGACGAGTACTTCTACAGGGGATAGAAAGTAAGCATGGCTACATATGTCAAAAATCTAAATAAAATAACCTGACTATTTTCTTATAATTTAAGTTAGTATTGATAAAATTATAACCGTGAAGATTTAGGGGATATTTGACAAAGTTTTTTATAAAAGTTTTAGCAAATTTTTATAAAATTTAATGAAATATATAATTAAAATTGTCGATAAAAGTTATAAATCTCATGAAATGTGTAATTAAATTATTTATTAACTTTAAGCTCAACTTTTTAACAATTTTTTAAGTGATCCCAGACAAGTCCTGTGTATCAATTAATGAAATATTATATCATCATTGATGTGATATTATTGCTATAAAGTGACGATATGATTAACTACATCTGATAATATTGTATATGTATTTTAGTATCTTTTATGTTTAATCAACCCAAAAGAGCAAGAGAAAGAACAAATATATTCCAAGGATCTAACCCACCAAAAGGGGGACCAGCTTAGTCCGGAAGTATTTAGACGATCTTCAACTCTACACCATTTTGCACCAAACTAAAAATCATCTCCAATCCATTACATTAAAAGTTGTACTAAATGAATGGTGTTTAGTCATTTTCTTCATTTCTTTTATATTTATCAATTTATATAGCTAAAAAAAATATTTTTTTATTCGATTTACTACAACATAAATTACTACATACATAATTACGTTTCATTTACGAAAATATGAAATTATTTAATATATTTTAAAAATGTAGTAAATTAATAAAAATACCACAACTAAGAAAATATGAAATCATGTTATTGAAAACAACTTAGTACATTTAGAATCTCGAAATTATGGTACGGCGAAATTGATCTAGTGTCATAATTTAATTATCGAAATTTATATATTCATCTCACAAATGTTCAATTAATGCATTTCAAAGTGCAACGTGAGCATCTTTATCCTTGATTTGTCTATAATGAGCAAGGATTTGTGGGAAACGTTGATTTTTGTCTTCAATGTTAATCATGTATGTTTGCATTTTAAAACTTTTTGAGTGTACCTTTATTTTAATTCGTTCATCTATTATTATTGATTACGCGATTAAAATTTATTACAAATAATAATAATGGTGGTGGTAGTAGTAGTAGTTAATTACTTAATTATGAATTAAAATTTATGTATGATGTAAAATGATACAAATACCCATCATATCAACTTGGTTATACATGAAAAAAAGGACAAGCAAAACAGTGTAAGTGAATAGTGTTGCACCATCACTTATACCATTTTGTGCAAGATTTGGTGTTCAGTTGGAGTGGTGTTTTTGGTGAAAAATGGTGAAATTTGGTAGAAAATGGTGGAATGGTGGCAGGGTTGGAGTTGCCCTTAGCCATCCAGATTACTTTATGCTAAAATAGTAATACTTATGCTAAATAGTAAATTGGCCAACTTCATTGGATTTGTATATTTTTGATGTGTTAAATACGATAAAAAAAAAAAAATTCACATAAAATGAGATAATTAATTTTACATAGTATCAAAGTGTAAAGAGGTTGTGAGATAAAGTCTCATTAGGGTATGGGTGAAGATTAAAATTTAATTATAATTAAAAGTAAAACATGTTTCTTCTCAAACAAAGTAAACTTTTAAATAAGGTGCTGAAAATACAATTTAAATGAATAATCTTTGTAGCTATTTTGTGGATATTGTAGCAATGTTATGGGTATATGATGTTACTGTAGCTATATTGTTTTACTCTCAAAGATCGAAATTAGGTAGCCCCCGAGCTTGCGTCCTTTAAGAGTTAAGAGATTCAATGTGTTGAACTTATTGCGCTCATTTTTATTTTTTCTTTCATCTGCATTTTGTAGTGATTTGAATCAATGAAATGTATTTAGCGATTTCAAAATAAAAATGAGAGTAAATAGCGGCGGTGCTTATCGAAAAATCTCATTATTCTTACATCGACCTCGTGGAAAACATAAAGGTTTTACTATAAAGTTTTACGCTACTCTCATTATTACAATTCTATGCCTGTCAAGTTTTTCTATGAGAAAATAAATCAACCTTTACATTAAAAATCATCGAAAACTAAGATTAATTAAATAAGTAAAAATATCTTAAGCGCATTTTGCTTAATTGAGAATATAGATTTTATAATAGTGATATATGAAAATACATGGTTAAAAAGTATGTATGTGTATATATATATATAGATCTTTTCCAGTAGCCGTCCTCTTGGCAAAATGCCATTGGAATTTCACAATATCTTAATCTTTGATATTTCTTCCTTCCTATGTGCCCAATACAAAACCATGTACTCCAATCACAAGTGGACATCCCACTCTCTCACCCCACTCGGCCTACGCGAACTGCTGCGTCATTTTCTATCCCTGTCTCTTCACCTCAAAATCCCAAAATCTGCCACTCTTTGAGTGGCACCTTCAATCGGTCGATTTACCAGTCGTTAGCAAGATTCATCTATTTAGCAGCCAACTCAGGTTGCTCCTAATGTCAATTTTTATTCTAAAATACAGAAAAACATATTTCAGTTTCACAAAATTGAGTCCTCCATCCTGAATTGATCAATCACTCACCGTATATCGAATATAAATTCTTTCCTCCCATTTTTCTTGATTTGTCATGGATTCTGTTCAAGAAGATCAGCAGCCCATAGATAGATCCAGCAGGAGCATAATTTTCGGAAAATTCGAGATGGGCAGGCTATTAGGCCAAGGAACTTTTGCCAAAGTCTACTATGGCAAGAACCTCAAAACCTCTGAAAGTGTTGCAATAAAAGTGATCAACAAAGATGAGGTGAAAAAAGAATGCATGATGGAGCAAATAAAGAGAGAAATATCTGTTATGCGATTAGTTCGACACCCCAACGTTATTGAACTCAAAGAAGTGATGGCAACAAAGCAGAAAATTTTCTTTGTAATGGAATACGTAAAGGGTGGTGAGCTTTTCGCAAAAGTCGCGAAAGGAAAGCTGAAAGAAGATGTTGCAAGAAAGTATTTCCAGCAACTGATAAGTGCAGTTGACTTTTGTCACAGCCGTGGGATTTCACATAGAGATTTGAAGCCTGAAAATCTGCTTCTTGATGAAAATGAGAACTTAAAAATATCTGATTTTGGCTTATCTGCTTTGCCTGAGCAGTTGAGAAATGATGGACTTTTGCACACACAGTGCGGGACCCCAGCTTATGTTGCTCCTGAAGTTCTTAGGAAAAAAGGTTATGATGGTGCAAAAGCCGATATCTGGTCATGTGGGGTGATTTTGTATGTACTTTTAGCTGGGTTTCTTCCATTTCAAGATGAAAATGTGATGAATATGTACAGAAAAGTTTTCAAGGCAGAATTTGAGTTTCCTCCATGGTTTTCATATGAAGCCAAGAGATTGATTTCAAGACTTTTGGTGGCAGATCCTGAAAGGAGGATTTCAATTCAAGGTATAATGAGATTCCCTTGGTTCTGCAAGGGTTTCACTACGCCTATTGGCTTTTCAATTCAAGAACCGGTTGAAGAAAACTTTCTGGAGCAAAAGGATGATAATTCCGAGAGTAAGAAATCATCTCCCCCTTTCTATAATGCATTTGAATTTATATCATCGATGTCGTCCGGATTCAACTTGTCAAGCCTATTCGAGAATAGGAAAAAATCGGGTTCTCTTTTCACGTCGAAATGTTCCGGTTCAGTGATTATGAACAAGCTGGAATCACTTGCCAAGAAGCTGAATTTTCGAATTGTCATGGCCAAGGATTATAAGGTGAAGATGCAAGGAGTTTCAGAGGGGCGAAAAGGGAAATTGTCTGTCACGGCCGAGGTGTTCGAGGTGGCACCAGAGGTGGCGGTGGTGGAGTTCTCGAAGTCTGCCGGAGACACATTTGAGTACAAGAAATTATATGAGGAGGATTTGAGGCCTGCCCTAAAAGATATTGTCTGGAGTTGGCAAGGGGAATGTAACAGCCAAGAGTAATTAGGCCAGGGGACTATTTTGTTTATTCCAGTTTGACTATTTTGTGTGGAGTTTGGTTTTGTGGTTACAACTTTTTGTATATACTGAGACAGTTTTATTAGGTTCGTACGATAGCAGCGTTGGTCCGGGTTTGTTGAGGGTCAGTACGCGTTCTTGCATTGGTCAAGTTTTGTGCAAAACAGTTTTGCTTAATTCATTGAGTTCGAAAAATAGCCCCGTTTGTTTCTTATTATTTGTCCATTAAAATGAAAAATATGATCGTTATCTATCACATCAAGTTATCATATTTGATTTTCTATCTCTTGTGTGAGATCTGTAACGACTATATTTTTCATTTTTATTTTTACATTAATGTGTATCAAACGGAGAATATTTAATATTCAATTATTAATATAGATGTCCAAGACAAATGTGCCAAGACATGTACCATACTATCTATCAATGAAAGTAATGTAAAAGCGAAGAGTAAATCACACTCGCACATCTTTTCACTCTCAATTTCAACTATCAAGTTTTTAAGTTTAGAGAAGTGCTATAGTGACAGGGCAACACCTTGGCCCTGTCACCTGGCCCGTCCAAAGGTGTCAGAGTAGCAAAACACTTAAGTTTATGATTGAATTACTTAATATTAAATATATAAAATATTAAAAAATGTTATTTCACAAATCAGGTTACATATGGAGGTGCAGGTGGCAGTAATAGTGGATTAATGCAAGTGGTGGTCATGATGACGAATTTTACGTGGTGGGCGTGCGTGGTTTGAGTTATGTTATATGTACAAAGTTTGTTAACAAAGTAATATTTATACCAATCATTTCAAAAACATATTTTTAAATTATTGGAAATCAATGGCCTAGATTTTACCTATACTTATTTTGTCAACCAAATTTGTAAATAAACTTTGTACAAATAGCATAACTCGAGGAATTTAAGGTGACCGTGGCGATTTGGATGGTGCCGACAGCAGTGGGTCCGTGGGCATAAAGTGTGATTGTATTCTATTAATTGGGTAATTTGTGACTATAAATAATATATGACCTATTAAAATTTGTGATTTGCGATTAAATATGTAATTGTGATTCATAAATTGTGTCCTTATGATTATGATCTTGTGACCGTAATATGTTTGATTAAATATAGGTAATAAAATGTTATCAAATGTTACAAAATATGACCACCAGATTTTTGAAAGATTTCATAAGTTTTTTAAATTTAAAAATACATCTTAAAAGTATGATATTAATGTATTTTTCCCAAAAGCAAAAGAGGTCAACTCATGGGCCATTGTATTAAAGCATTAAAATTGATTTTAGAGCCCAACGTACAATCTAAGTTATTTTAGGCATATGGTAAAATCAATAAAAGTTAATATTGAAGAAAAAGTAAAGTTTACATTCAATTAAAGCATATGATCCAAAACAACATACAATTTGTAAAATAGAAATGAAACTGATGTAAAAAAAACCAAAATATGTTAGTTAGCTCATGGGCCGCCATTTTATTAAGTCACTGAAATTGATTTTAGAGCCCAACTTCTGATTATCACACAATCCAAAGTTATTTGGGACAATTAGGTCCATTACTTTAAAAAAAGGCAATAATTAGAATAATACGTTTAAACTTAATTATATCTCTAATTATAGTATTAACTATGCTTTCCTCCAACTCATCCAGAAATACAGGCGGAGAAACCCTTTCCTCCAATCTAATTTTATTCTCTTCTAAAAAAATTTATTATTAAAATATTTTTGTTTGATGCTGTATTTTACACTACAATTATCCATTTTCGAGAGATTCAAGAATCTATTAGAAGCTTACAATGCGATCATGATAAATATGTTATGGACAATATTCAAAAATAAAAAAATTATCTTCCATAAATTATTAAACATAAAACTTATGTTTATTAATTTTCTCTTTATTTTTTTCCTAATCGATATCAATGTAAAAATTTTTGAAGTTTAAACCATTTATTAAGTTAATTTCTTGTGGCCATTTTCTATTTGTAATTATGAACTAATCATTTCCTAAGTTTAAATTCAAAAGATATATTTCAAAGTCTGCCTTCAATATTTCAATAAGATAATAGAAATCTCATCTGAAGAATGAAGAAACATAGCCCTTAAATAAGTCAAAAAATTCCCTCTTTTTTTTTTTTTCCAAAGCAACATGATATGTCACTTTTTCAAGTGTTTGTCACTTATTTTTTAATTTCTATCTTTTTTTAATGGTTGTCACTTTCATTTTTTTTTCAATCACTTTTTTTTTTTTTTGAAATCGTGTCACTCTTTTTAGTGTGTCACTTGTTTGAATTTTTGTAACTTTTTTGAATGTTTGTTACATTTTTAATTTCTCAATCACATTTAAAAAAAAATTTTATATCACTTTTTTAGTGTTTATTACCTTTTTATTTTTTGTCACTTGTTTTGAACTTGTGAAACTTTTTTTAGTTTATGTCATTTTTTTTTTAAAAATTTTTGTCACTTTTTTGAGTGTTTGTTATTTTTTTTTAAATTTCTGTCATTTTTTTTTATTGTTTGCCACTTTTTTCTATCACTTTTATTGAATTTGGTCAATTTTTTTTTTTAGTGTATGCTACTTTTTTGAATTTTTGTCAATTTTTTTTGAGTATGTAACTTTTTTTTTTTTTTTTTTTTAATTTTCTTTTTCTTTTTTTAGTGTTTTTTTCTTTTTTTGAATTTGTGTTGCTTTTTTTAAAGTACGTAACTTTTTGGAATTCCTATGTCTATTTTGAGTCACCTTTTTTTTTTTTTTTTTTTTAATTTTCTTTTTCTTTTTTTAGTGTTTTTTTCTTTTTTTGAATTTGTGTTGCTTTTTTTAAAGTACGTAACTTTTTGGAATTCCTATGTCTATTTTGAGTCACCTTTTTTTTTTTTTTTTTTGACTTTTCGCCACTTTTTAAGTGTTTGTCATTTTTTTTCGTCACTTTTTTTGAATTTGTAATACTTTTTTAATGTCACTTTTAAAAAAAAATTAAAATTTTATCACTTATTTGAGTGTTTGTTACCTTTCTAAATGTAAAGTTATAGTTGTAAATAAGAAATCTTGCAACAACAAAAGTTATAAATAAGTTATTTATTTAATTTACCGCCAAAATAATTAAAATTTTACTTGTAAAACTTAAAATATCAACGCATCTAAAGCTATTCTTAAAAAATTTGGAATAGTTTGTTGGGCCAAAGTAGTCAGAATTCCAACCGTATTGGTTGGTCTTGAACACTAAACAAAAAAATTATCGTATTTTTTTACTTCAAAATAACTTTTATCATGATTTTTCTAAATGGCTCCCATTTTGTGGGTATTTAAGTAATTACCCAAGTTATTTTAGGCATTGGTAAACTTAATAAGTTATTTTTTATCTTGGGCATCGATCAGGACTTGAAGAGTGGATGAATTGATCATTAAAATAAAACAAATATCACTTGTTAGTTCACCTTCGAGAAAAAGAAAGTAAAAACTAAGAGTGAAAGTGAAAACTAAGAGAAAAGCACGACCGACGAGAGATTATATTGACCTACTAGGGGTGCGATATTGACATGGAGTCGGCTCCTTGAAAGTTGAATTGCATAACTTGATTTGAGTAGCATAAATAGAATTGGGAATGAGTAGCGCACACACTCAAGATCCGAATATACGATATGTGGAAATTGTTTAATTCTCATTCTTGTATTTCATTAAGTTGTTCGAATTTTAGGACTTGAATATCCATGTTGAGGAAAATATTGAATAACTTATATCAAGTTAAGTTCCTCAATTTATTTTCTTTAGTTTAAGTCATTCTCTTATTTTATTTGATGACCAACAAATGTTTTGGTTTGAGAATGTTTGATAAATGTAATTTTACATTTATACGTGCCATTAAAAGTGGAAGTGTGGGAGTACCTTTATTGTATTTATACCTAATTTTGGTTCTACATTGATTATTTTAGGAGAAAATTCAATATTGGATGGTGGATGAAGAAATGGAGCATGAATTGAATGATGAAGGTTGAAGATCTATTATTGGGTTTCGTGAGGCAAAGATCAACGATTGATTAGATCTTTTCCCCCTTTTTTCAAACATAGTGATGTATTTATATTTTTCTACCGGTCCAGTTGATTCAACCGGAAAAACCAAGAATCGAGATCAAAATAGGTCTGGTTAGACTTAAAAAATCTCTAATTAAAAACTCACCCCAATACTCATTAAATCAACCAGTTTTTGAAAAACCCGTGACCCATTCTTTGTTTAATCGGTTCAACCTATATTAATGTATATATTTTTTTGAAATTTTTAAAATTTTGGTAAATGTATATTTTCAAATTTTTAAAAATCATCAGTTCGATTTCCATTCGAACCGATTCAACCTTTTGACCCTTAATCCTTTCTTTTTTCCATGTCAATGGGCGGGTCAATTTTTAAAACATTGATCTTTACAAGTGGCTAATTTTTTACATGTTAGGATGAACGATACAACTTAGATTATTTGAGTTAAATGAGTTCACATACTTCATGTTAAAATCTTCGTTGTGTTAATTGCTTATTATACCCTTATTAATTGACATATTTAGGTACTGTATTGAGACCGAAATGTAATAATGTATAAGGGATCGAGAGATACTCTTATAGGTTATGTAACTTATAAATTAAATTTCTACTATTCGATGCACGATTACTAGTTTATTCGGAGAATTCGGTTGTTAACACACTTAAGTAGGGCTGTGGTACGTGGATCGAAATTAAGCATAATTGACGCGATCGAAATTCCTTACTAGTCAATCCCATAAAATCTTTTGCAAAGTTTCTGAGTGTAGATCGTGTTAGTTAAATTTTAGTCTTATCTTCCTTTTTAAAACATAATTGATTTTTTCTTTTGTCTAAATTGAAGCTAGGATAAAGTAAAATCGATAATTGATAGCGTAGTCTATAAGTGAACTATATTTGGACTCACGTCCATTTTACTATTTATCAAAGGGAAAATTTCATAAATAAGAGATTAATTATTGCACATTTCAAAAACAAGAAAACAGGTTTCAAATTTCAAAAATCAGATTTTTATTAAAAATTATTTATAATTTAATTAATTAATTTAGTAATTAAATATATTTAAGTCAGAGATTTATATAATTTGATCACAAATTAACGATTTAATTCGTCACTTATTATTTTTTGATCAAAAATCAGAAATTTTATGTCACAAATTATTTTACGGTCACAATTCAAAAAAATTATAGGTCACAGTTTGGTCATCGATCACAAATTGAAAAATT